GCCTGAGCACACGTCGGACATGCGAAAGAGGGAGGGGCCTCCTGCTGCGCTGTGTCCTCGGAGAGTTGTTGCAGAACGTCTGCGTACCTGGCAGAGAGCGCCTCTGCTTGATGAAGCGCCTGCTGTGTCAGAGAGACATCACCTGCAGGGGTTGTCTGCTGGCAAAGACCTAGGAGCTTGACACGATTGGCTTGTCTCGCCTGCAGCTTACAAACAGGATCCATGATCTCGTGGGAGGCATAGAGGTCAGTGGTCGATATGTGTGTAAGGTGCACTGGCTTGTTCAGTACAGCTCGGATTTTTCGAGCGTGCCAAGCCCGCAAGAGTTTGGCTGTCTCCAAAGTCAAGCCCACATCCACCAACCCAGAGGCCACGGTGGCCCAGACAGTACTATGCCAAATATGCAACCGCGATGCCGGCCCTGCCGTGCGTCTGTTGTGAACGAAGCGACGTACCTGCTGCAATTTGGCATTGCCCTCCTGCAACCGAAACTTGAGAGTAGCCTTCTCAAAGTTAGAGTAAGAGAGCATGACTCCGAGATACTTAAAGGTCGTCACCATCGGGAAGCCTTCGTGAGATTTGGACGCTCCCAGCCACCACATCTTGTGGCGAGTACCGTCAGGCGCGGTGCGCCAATACGTGTGCTTGGATATGGCGCGTGGCGCCTGTTGGCCCTCGAGCTCTATCATGACGGTGCATTTGGCACCATTGACAGCAAATCCATGACTGCGGACCAACTGCAATAGCTGCTCAATCAGAGCATGAGCGCGGTCCAGGTCCTCCAATGAGTGGATTTCGCGGTGAACCGTCAGATCATCCGCGTAGCCTGTGAGGTAATCCACCACAGCACGAGCACCGACAAGAGCTATGAGCTCCCGAAAGATGGTGCCCGTAAGCATGGAGAAAAGAGCAGGGGCAAGCTTACAACCCTGTTTAATGCCAGCTGTGGATTGGACTGTGTCCTCTTCACCCTGCGTGCGAAAGGTGTAAGCACTACCAGCATGTAATGAGGCGACTAGGTCCATGAGGTCCTGAGGGACTCCCGCATCCCGCAGGGTGTTGAGCAGGTCTGTCCTGCTCACTCACCATGTCAAAGGCCTGTGACAAGTCCAGGGCAAAACAGATACCACCTACCAGCTGGGGGCGAGGTCGCCCCGAGTGAAGCTGATGCCTGGTACGTCGGGCCTCCTGGCAGTTGCTGCGTACCTGAGTGACATGGCCAACGACCCTGCTCAAGGCGTCGGAAAGACCACGTTGGGGTTGGTAGGCAAATTGTGGGAGACGCCGGAGATAGTCAGCCGTGTAGGGAGACAGCTGGTCAGCAGCCGGCAATGGGAGTTGCCCCCGAGATTGCAGCGTTGCTGCTAGCGCCGCTCCCGCATCTACCGAGCACAGCCGCCAGGCAGCCGCCGGAGCCGAACCCTGCGGGACCGCCTTGTGCGGTCTAATGGAGCCGATGTGCTTGGCCAGCAGACCAGCCGGGATTTCCGGTAGCGATCCCACTTGGTGTCCGAGGGGAGGATGTCTGGCAAAGACCTGTTCCACGTGTTCGCGAAGCAAACGAAGCTCAGAGTGAGAGTCCAAAAGCAGGCCATCCGGTCCCTGAAGCTGGGCCTTGATTTGCGCTCCCATGGTCGGAGCTTCTTTAGGGTCTTATGCGCGATGTACGAATCGTGTCTGGCACACGCCTCATCCACCTCTGCCTGAAAAGCTCGGTAACGTTCCTTCTTGGCTAGGTAGAGAGCCTGCTTATGCCAGCGACTCAGGTCCTCCAAAGACTGATCCAGGTCGGATAAAGTGGTGATAGAGTCCTCATGCAAGGAGCGGATGTGAGCGACTCTGTTCCACATGCGCAACGTCGCACGATGCTGAGCAGTTTCCGGAGCTTGCTGTGGCCGAGGCTTGGGAAAGAACAAAGCAGAGGCCTCCAGCAGCACCTGATTGACTTCATCAGGCGTGTGATTCCGAGAGGACAGACGCTGGCCCACCCAGTCCTGCATGCGGCCGGCTATCGGCAGACCTGAACGGACAGCCGTCTCTAGAGCTTCCTTATGGAAGGTCAGGGGGGGGCAAGTGGGCTTAGGCAAATTCCAGTGCTGAGTGGGTCGGAGATGAGCCAAGACGGGAAGGTGGCCGCCTCGCTTCCACCTGCCGAGCTGAAGATCCTTGCATGGCCCAGACTGTTTTGCCGGACCCTTGGCCGAAGCCTCGGAGGTTAGCAAAAAATCAATTTGCGAGCCCCGTCCATTCAAGAAGAAGGTGTGACCAGCGCGCCAGGACCAAGTGTTAAGAGCTACCAACCGATGGGAGGAAACCAAAGCCTGGAACGGCTCATCCTGCATTTGAGCATGCTCCTTCCTTGTGCTACACTGGCCCACCACACCCTCCTGCAGAGTCAAACGAGCGTTAAAATCGCCTGCCAAGAGAAAGGTATCCCTCGCCGGGATTGCCCGGATCGCTGCTGACAGATCGCGGAGCAAGTGTGAGCGGTCTTCCTTGTTCTGCTGAGGAGACTTCTTAGAAGACCACGCATGTTGATAGACCGCAAAGACATGCACGCGGGCCCCAAGCCACGGGAAAATGACCTGAATGAGCCTGCCGCGGCGTTGCTCTCGCCACCGAATCCGTTTCTTGTCTATCTGAGGAGAAAGGAGAACCATGACACCGTCCGCTCGACTTGTGTCATGAACAGCTGGCTGCGTGGCAGCGCCTTGCTTGGAGCGTTGCCCGGGAGCAGTTTTAGCTTTGGGTGCCCGGGCAGCCCTTTTTGTGGCGGAGCTCACGCAGTGCCAACCCTCAACATCAAACTCTGCTGTTTCACTCCAGTGAGTTTCCTGCAAGACCAGAATGTCGCAGACATACTTGGCCTCCGTGCGAAGCCACGTCTTCACTTCTGCCCATTGTTGCATGCCAAGGTGCCCAGCGTTCCAGGAGAGAACACGAAGAGACTTGCTGGCACGACCGCCTCTCGGGCGCGAGCGGAAACTGGCGGAGGGGCCTGAAGGACCTGAAGGAGAAATCGTGGAGCCAGACAGCACGGGGAGGGGAGGAGGGGAGGGCGGGGTGAGTCCACTGCGGCGCAAATGTTCGGGCGTCAACGTACCATTCCGGTACCGGATGCTGTCTTGTGTTCTATGTACCTTATTGCAAGCCTTGCGAAAGGCCTTCTTGCGAATGCTCTCAAAAGAATGCTGGTGCATTGGCGATTGCGCCGTCCGCTAGTTTCGCCGGAAAGAGAGAACTCAATCCGACTCCCTTCACCCTGCGGAAAGGTGAAAACCACTACCGCTTACCTCATGCCAAGGTTGTATAACTGCAGACAGAGGCCCGGGAATTGGGACCCGGCAGATCACAGCGGCACGCGGCTCCGGGAATAGCTATGGCTCAGAAAGAGGACAGTCCCTTAAGCTTCGCAGAAGGGGGACGTTGCGAGCCTCTAGCGTTGGTACCCAGAGCCTTGTTAGCAAAGCTACACAGCCTGCTGTGATCCGTAGCGGCTCCAAGAGCAAGAACAAGAACGACGACAACAACAACAACAGCAGCAGCAACAGCCACGGCCAATCGTAGAGTCGTAGCAACAAAGTCGCATGTCGCATGATGCTGAAACGGCAACATTGCAATACCAGAAGAGCACAGCACTGATGGCAATCAAAGCCACCGCGACAACCACAAAGGCATGAGAATGGAGCATTTGTAATTAGCAACATGTCACGAGTTGGCAGGCGCTCTTGGTTACGATGCAACTAACAAAAACACCCTCGCATCTTTGATCGCAACATACGGAAAACATAGCCTGCGCAATACAGATTCAGGATGATTCAGGCCCCACCCGCATGTCAGTCCCACGGTGCCACCGACATCAGCAACATGACGGGACAAGACCCTCACCAGACTGGCATTGCGGCGAAATCACACCGCTGCTTATAATAGAACCGAAGGAAGGCTTTGGTTTTGATGTCATTGGAACGGCGAAAACAGACACAATGCGGTCTTGGTACATGTATGCACGCATGCATTAATTACCTTTGCCGATGACGCGTGCCGACTTGCACCATCCTGCATGCTAATGCATCCATCTACCGTAGCAAAATCTAGCAGCATCCCGCCATCTATCCCACGTGATTTGCAACTTGCAACGTAAGAAACCTAGTCGGCAGGCGGAACGTTTCCTGAATCACTTCTGTTACGCAAGATGTATACAAAAGACCGCGGCACTGGAAACAACTGGCATACAGTTTTGGGTGATTAACATGGATCCAATCGGGCTCCGGGACTATTGTTGCAGAAATGTGGAGGATGGGGCACGCGATATGATGAATTCGGTGCAGTTCGAGAATGGTGCAGCATTTCTTCTTCGAAGTACCCTCAGACGAAAGTGGTTTTCAGGCATCTTGCTGTCGAAGATGCAACTTGGGATTGCCAGTCTCGCCGATGCCAGAGCCTTCAAAGGGCAGATGCGCGAGCAAGAAGAAAAGAGCACGGGACGACGCGTTGCGTTGCTCGTTGCTCTTGAGAAGAGTCCGGTCCGCGCGCCTGAGCCGGATCTCGAGGCGAAGGCCTTCCAGGCCTGGAGACCTCCTCTCCAACCTCCAGTCCCGAAGGTGTGGAGGAACAAAGCAAAGAGAAAGAGGTCAGGAATCCGAGTCTTGAGCCTGCCTTCAAGACACGGCCGGACTAAGGTCGGCCTTGAAGCCAGACGAGGAAGGCCGGAGTATGACCACAGCCGAGGGTGCATGGCACAAGATGGCCCAAAACATGTTGCTAACATGCTCTCTCCCAGGACAAGACCCTTCCAGCCCACTTGTGGTTCGGTGAGGGCGAAGAAATTAGACCGAATCATGTTCGTGTTCAAATCGTGGGCACTGCGTCACTGCGATTCCGCGGCTGAAAGCCATCAAGTTTGCTCACTGGTACTTGCAACTTGTGAGACGATGTCAACCAAAAAAGCAGCCAATGACTCAGAAAGTGAAGCGAAAAAGAGGCCTCTGCTCCGTCTGCTCTCACCCAAACGTTGTGAACTCAGTCGGTCGAACATAGCCCTGCAAAACAGCGCACAGTGGCAACTTCCATGCATTCCAGGCGCTTTCACTCATGGCCTTTGCAGGGCCTGTACAAAGAGTCACCCTTGGGCCTGGGAGACTCAACAGCCAGTCTTCAGTCAGCACGTGCGCTTGCACAAAGGCTCAGGCTGTTGGGTTGCTTCCCCCGAAAAACAGCCTCGCACCAAAGGGTCGCAGGGCACCAGGGCTCTATGAAGACAGGTGCATTCTACAAAATTCGTCCGCCTCTGCTTGCAAGTAACTCTCATCGTTGAGGTCAGTTGCGGGAGCAGGAATGTCAGCTTTGCCTCAGCAAACACTGCACTAAGAGGAAGAACCGCTTGCTCTGCCATCAAGATTACACGTCGTGGTTGCACACAACATCTACATGCTCCACAACGCCTTCTTCGTGAGTCCCCCAAGTCTGCGAAAGCCCCTCGCCCACTGCCCAGCACCAACGAAATGATGCAAGGACTTTGACGCCGCTACGGCCAGTCACTAGGCTAAGAATTGCGGCCTGGCGCCATCTGGTACATCATGTCATCACATCGTCCTCACCCGGCCCTCGATCAGCACTTTTGCACAATACCTCAATTTTAAGGGCATGCGCCGATCGGGATCGTAAAGACAGTGCTCTAGGGAGCTCTGGATCTCGGCGTTACCGTACAGATGCGTAAACAAACTTCCAAGACCAAGACTCAGGCTTAACTGTGCTGCAACCTTTTGCATCTCCAACCCCTACGATATCACAGTTTTTCGTGGCAGCCACAGTTGTTGTTCATATTTTCTCTGTGCCACCGCATTGTGATCATTATGCATGTAGTCTACACGCATGCATCTAGAATCTCTATGGGTCGGGTGGAGTTTGTGTGAGCTTCCTTTGCTTTCTCGATCGTTTCCTGGGCTGGGTGGCAGCCGCTTCCTTTTGGATCCTGCTCTCTCCGCAGCGTGGCGAGCGTGCAAATTCTCGCACGTATAGAGCATGTCGAGGAGTGGAATCCTCGTGACGGCTGTCGGGTGCTGAACACTCCCGTCTTGGTCGCGGCTGGCAAACGTGCGAATGCGTGTGATGATGCAGCACTCATCTACCTCACGAGGAGATAGGTCCAAGACGTATTGCCCATGAGGAGATTCGACATCTTCAAGGCAACTCGAAGCTACATCAACTAACTTCCAACATGAAAGCTTGGCAAAGTTTCATTTTGATTCATCATGAAACGGATGAGTGCTTTGCAAGATAGTGCAGCCAGAACCGACTTGTGTGAGCAGGTCAGGACGTGCAAGCACACATGCGTGCAGCTCCTTGCTGAGACGACGCCGTAGTCTATACACTAATGAGGCTGCGGCCATCCTTGTTCAAGTCGATGCCGACCTGACTCACAAGGTGGCCAATGTGTGTCGCCCAATACCCCAACCCCGACCGAGAGTTCTGTTGCAGGCCCTGAGCCCTGCCGGCTGCCTGCCGGCCGAAAGCTCACGGCTCGGCCGGTGCTTTGGAACACAAACAGAGACAAGAAGGCTTTTTCACAAGCTCGGCATAAACTGCATGGTGCCGAAGCAGAGGAGCTTGTTAAGCACAGACGCGAACTGTTTACTACTTTCTTCAGCTGTCCCGCACAGGCTAACTGTTTAACTGGATCCCTCGCCTTCGACTTGCGGAATCTGCCCTTCGGACATCATGCAACCCCCCCTTGACATGTGCCCTGCTATCCTTGCGACAGTAAGGGACTTAGGGAAGGTTACTTTCTACGCAGTACCAAGTTCACAGGTTGGCTGATTCACCAACTTCCTCGGCTTTTGGCGAGATTGCCTGCTTCACCTCCCTCACCTCCCTCTCTCCCCTTATTCATGCCGATCCTGTGAGCATCTGTGAGCCCTGCAGTGGCTGTTGGCTCTGCGAAACCAGAAGCCTGCTTGGTACACTGGTACACTTATCTACATAATTGATCCACGACTTGCCAGGACAGCTCAGTTCCAGATTCCAGAGAAAGCACGCACCAGCTAAAGCAGCAATCTCGTGCCTGAGGTGCGGCTGGAGCAGCGACAGTCTGGTACGAGTAAACTACGCGGGGCGGCCTTGGACTTCACGAGATCTTCGTAATGCAGACAACAGCCACCCCAAGCCCATACGCCATAATACTGCGTACGCATGCGAGCCAAGACGCAGCTGGGTAGCCTGACTCCATTTGGCTTTCCACACAAGCATATAGTCACTGCGCAGATTTCACCGACGGCGACCTGCATAAGCCTCGTCGGCGACACAGTTCGGACCTGAACATCAACATTTATCAACATGCCAGAGTCTTCGGACAAATGCTGCGCGGCATCGGGGGCAGGCCTCTGCAGCACGCAAAGACCTGACAGTGGGACCGGAATTTTGGAGTTTATAGCATCCACCAATCGCGACTGTCATAGACCTGTCTGATTCTGCCAGTGCGGATGTGCCTGGGAGACAGAACATAGGTTGCAGTCGCCTAGCGGCTTGAAACACAGAAGCACAAACGCTTTTCGACCACACAACTCACGCTCGTACACTCGCCAACAGTTTGCAGTGTTCTGTAGCAACCTGCCAAGCATCATCCCGCCTCTGGCCGAACACCTGGCAACACAAGTGCTCAGTTCTCGGCTTGGTGCTGGCAACAGCACAAGCTACCTGCAACTTTGAGCTCCGCTCGCAGACCATCAAGCTGTCCACGAAGCTGCCAGTCGAGCAGCAGGGAGTAGCGGGGAGAGCCAGCAGCTAGCAGCTACCCAAAGGGCAGAGTCTGTTCCAACACCTTCTCTAAAGTCTCCTCCGTCGTTGTTGACCTGTAAGTTCAGAGCCGACAGACGTGGCTACGGCTCTCGTACACTATGGGAGGGCCGATGGAGATGGCAATCTCCTACAACAATGGTGTCTCGTGATTTGAGTGCATCGCGTTGGGCGCTGTTCGCTCTGGTACACCGCCTGCACTATGGTAGGGGGCGAGTGAGGAGAACAAGCCTTGCTGCTCTACTTAGACTGGTCTTTCTGCCTGAGACTTCTTCTCAAACTTCGCCTCCAGTGCCTGCGAATGCTGTTGAACTAGGACATCCTATGATATCCTATGGCAACTGCGGCTCTCAGTGGCACTCCTGAAGCCGCTTCAGCGATACGCGGGTCGGCGCCTCCTGACGGGCTTCGCAGGTGCGGTTCGATTGGTGATGAAATCATGCGACCGTCCTCCCTCGAGGGCGAATCATTCCTGGCCCGGCCGCCCAGCTTCCGCTCTCAATCGAAACGCTGACATTGGCGAGCCTTGCCAAAGGGCTGTCCGGAACCACTCCAGATGGGGCCGAAGATCCTTAGCCACGGATGCGCAAGCGCCGCTCATGACTGGACCTCTGCTTGGGCAGGCCTTTTGTCACGGAAGGCTGCACATCTCTAACCTGCGCAGTTCTCCCCAGCCCAGCATTCTCACCTAGCTGCCACGAGTACCTGCTCCTCCAGCCACACGAAAGCCTGACCGATTGAAGCTATGCACAACTCGTCGCCCCAGCTGCAGGGAGAGCCCCACTGGTATAGTTTACTTCTGTACACAGGCGCTTAGCTTCGCACAACAATCACCCTCCCTTCCTGCCCCCGTCATCAGATGCTCAATGAAAATATTCGATCGGATTTTTTCTTTCATTCAGTTCAGGTGGGAACACCCCTCGAAGAGCATTGGTACCTAGGCATCATGCTCATGACGCTGGCCCAAGTTTGCTCTCGTTAAACAACAAAAAAGTATCTGAGCCGGGACCTGAACTCGCACCCCTCCCCCACGCAGGCCGCAAGCCGCAGGTAGTAAACACGAAAACCGAAGGCCATATGTGGCCACAGAAACACAAGTCACTCGACCTTCCCAAAAACCTCAAGGGCGTCCGGCTCGAAGGCTTACATTAGACCGCGCTACCGGGGCTGAAGCCTGCGGATATAAGTCTGAGGGAGTGGTGGGAACAAAACCTCAACGGCTGGGTATCGACTGGGGTATCGGTAAGCCACAACTAGCCCCCCTGCTCACAACCACGTTTTGGGGCGCTGCAAAGCTTTGCTGGTGGCTGTGTCTTCTAGTTCAAGCTCAGAAATGCCTCTGCGCACTTTGCAAGCACATTTGGGATGACCGTTCGGGGTATGGGGCGGGGGGGTATCGGCAATCGGCCAGGCCCATACAAACACTTCCTCCAACTCCCTCCAATCTGCACATGTACTTGCGGCCGCCCTCAAAACCAAAGCCTGTTGGAAACAGTGGGCCTAGACTAACGGGGTTTTGACCCTGACTCATCCTCAAGTTTCGACGGTGCCCGGGAATGGGGGCTTTGCTGGCCCGCTGCGGGCCTGATTACGGCTTCTAGTCTCGTGGTATCGGCGGGGTTCCTGAGTCCTTAAGGAGAAACACAAGCTAGCCTCGATCCTTGCATTGCGCTCTGCAGACAAGGCTTGAGAAAGTGCATCCAATCCTGGGAGGCCGATGCAAGCTTGACACTGCAGGTCTCTAGTGACTCTAGTCAGCTATCCGGTTGGCATGTCAAGGGCCAGCGCGCTTGTCCACGCGATTCGTCTGCTTCTCATACTCGGATATGCGAGCCTGATCCACTGTGAACTTTACAGATCCCAGTAGCTTTCCAATCGCGAGCCTGCGATTCGGCAATGTGGTGCTTGATTTTGAGGGCATCTGCTTTGCAGCGGCCCTGCAGTGCTGGCGGGCCCCGAGTTGGAGTGCCCACGCCCACAGTTTGCACACGCACACATTCGCCTCGATCTCGGCCTCGTGTCGCGTCTGGTCGTTCCGTAGCTGCTCAGCATCTTTCCTGAGGCAGATCTCATGGGCTTATGATGTCACTAGGCATCAGGAACAGGATAGAATCTAAACAGCGTTGCTGCACGATGCCAGCAGCATGAGCAAATATCCGCGCAATGACGGTCATCGAAGTCACGATCAGTCTTTAGATTTTCGGGGAGTCCGACAGTGTCAGGCGCAAAGCGGGCAGATCTCTGGTTGCAACATTGCTGAAGGAACCGTTTCTTAATCAGGTTCCTACATTAGCCCTAAACCCAACCCTTTTAATTAAAAGGAACCCCTATTGACAGCTTTCGCCTCAGGTCCAAATGGCCCAATCACTCCCAGCACCTCTCGCAAGCCAGCCTCGGCAGCAAAACTGAGCGGCTGAGCTCCAAATCTCTGGACGAGGCTGGCACTGCGCGGTGCTCAGATTCATGCACGACGAGCTCCTTCAGTATAAGAGCCAAGTGGAAAGCGCGCGCATCGGAAGCGGCGCTGCATGCGCTACACTCCTGAAGCTCCCGCAGAGCCTTCCAAATGGCATCGGCATCCTGCGCTTGATGCGCCGCTTGGTAATGGTGGATTCTTGCTGGGAGCTGAGCGAGCTGGGTCCTGCCCCTCCAGCGCCCTTGTCGAGCCCGGACTCTTCAGCTCACGCTCACGGTCACGACGCTCAGACCGTCTTGAAGCCTCGAAGCGATCCGCCAGGTCGGCAAGATCCTTCCTGGCAGTGCTGAGAGCCTGCAATCACGAAGGTTGGAACCACGGACATGTTTCATCATTTCCTTGCTAAAGGCTGGTTCCGACATGCCGTGCTTCAAGAGCCACAAGTCAACTATAGTCCACTTCGGCCCACCGCGCAAATCTGACTTACGCTTTGGTCCCTCAGGTTCAGAACGGTCTTAGATTGTCTAGCAGTGTGTCGAGTGAACAAGCCATTCACTATAATTCAGGTAGCTGCCGGCCATAATGCAAGCTCGACTAGAGGCTTAGATAAGAACTGTTTGGATTCTTATTCCTTGCTCAAGCAAGGGAGCTGCCTCAGAATGACGTCCGGCAGTCGAAGCGGTGGTGTTGGCGTAGCCGCTTCAAGTTCAGTTCGTGACCCCGAAGAGTTGCGATTTTTCCTTCCCGTGAGTAGAGATTCGACTTCGGCTTGAATTCTAGCACTGCCCGCCAGGTGCACCGGTCAGCCAGGGGAGTGTGAGTATTGATGATCGACACACATACAGACGTCGTCGTCGTACTGTAGTACTCGTCGTCGTCGTCGTAGTAGTAGTAGTAGCAGCAGTACGAGCAACGGAACCAGTAGTAGTAGCAGTAGCAGTAGCAGTAGCAGTAGCAGTAGCAGTAGCAGTAGCAGTAGCAGTAGCAGTAGCAGTAGCAGTAGCAGTAGCAGTAGCAGTAGCAGTAGCAGTACCAGTAGTAGTAGTAGTAGTAGCAGTAGTAGTAGTAGTACTAGTACTAGTACTAGTACTAGTACTAGTACTAGTACTAGTAGTAGTAGTAGAAGAAGAAGAAGTAGAAGTAGGAGTAGTAGGAGTAGGAGTAAGAGTAGGAGCAAGAGTAGGAGTAAGAGTAGGAGTAAGAGTAGGAGTAAGAGTAGGAGTAAGAGTAGGAGTAGGAGTAGTAGTAGGAGTAGTAGTAGTAGTAGTCGTAGTAGTAGTAGTAGTAGTAGTAGTAGTAGTAGTGGTGGTAGTAGTAGTAGTGGTAGTGGTAGTGGTAGTGGTAGTAGCAGTATGTAGCAGTATGTAGCAGTAGCAGTAGCAGTAGCAGCAGTAATACTACTAGTAGCAGCGAAAGTAGCAGTGGCCGTGGCCGTACACCGGAACCAGTCCAGTACCAGTTCTAGCAGCTTCTAGCACTCGCAGTCGTCGCAGTAGTGACAGCAACAACATCTGCTTAAATCGTCGTTGTGTCAAGTAGTAGTCGTAGTCGCTCGCAGCAAGGAGTAACAGGAGGTGCTTGCAGGTGCCTCAAGTTCAATTCGAGCCCGAAAAAACTGCTAGGCGAGTAGCATTTCAACTTGGAAAGGGGTTGTCGCACCTGTCGCTGTGCCACAACTTTTTTCTGGGGAGAGATCCGGGTCAGGTCCCCATGCGTGCCCCAGTTTGACGTCAACATGCGCATATGTAGTGGGGCCAGTTCGAATTCGATACCAATTGTTGTTGTGCCGTGGCGGAGTTCGAGATTCAGTCGCGTTCGTCATGCTTGGCTTACAAGCGTATGAATGTTGTCGTAAAGCTCAAGCTCAAGAATCCCGAAAAGAGCTGCTGCTTGCTGCATATTCATTCTGCAAACATGCACCGAAAAAATTGTGCATGCCGAGGCCTGAGCTAGATCGACTGTTCGCCGCTCTTGGCCCTCCAGTAAAGCTGCCAATTCTGACAAGCCTGCGTTGGAGGATGCCACCACATCTTGAAGTTTGGCGGCTCGCCGTTCATGGCCACTCATCGATGCAGTCAAACCAGATATCTCGGTCTCCAACCTTCGAGCACTATCCTGCAAGCTTTGGCAACGTTGCTCGAGGCTCTGGAATAATTGCTCAAGCTCTCTTCCAGTGCTGCGATGTTTTCGATGAACATTGTCTTGCTCACGCGAAAGGCCGGCTACTTCGTTCAGTGCCTTCGGTCAGGGCTGCTTCAGGAAACAACACCTTCAATAGAACAGTAAACCATTGTAAACCATGTCAACGTGGTGTTTTCGAATAGAACTTCAGGGGCCCATTATCCTACATTGGGTTCCATGGCTGAAAGCTGAAACGAAACCGTGGCTTGTCGGGTACACTTTAAGACTTTAAGAATACGTCTGCTTTTGAATCTGTGCTTGCGTTACAGACATGAAACTCACCGCTGCCTTGGCTTATAAGCTTTCTTGAAAATGCACTCTCGATCCACCGTCAGATTTCCCGTTTTCATCATGTTTCATCAATTGATCGTCCCTCATTTTCTTGGTGAGGGAATCCATCGGCCCGGCATGGATTGTGTCTGTATCCACTGCACTTGGTGAACTATCGCCGGTAACCGTGACGTTGGCCAATGGCTCGCCGTAGGGGCTTCCCTTTGGCTCGCCATATTGTTTGGCTTAGAGAATCCCGCGAGGTCATGTCAATGGCCATGCTTTGGTGACTTGGGCTTCCGAATGAGGCCTGGCAAGTGGCGCTTCTAGGCTGGACAAAATCCACAGCCTTGTTTTTTCCGGTCTTTGCCGATGCCGTGCACCGTCCTGCCTTAATCACGGAGAAATCATGCTCAGCATCGCGGCCCGGAGGGTCGAGCGACAACATCGGCGGACAAAATTCGAGGTTTGCGGCAGGAGGTACACGTGCCCGCACACAATCCCAAAGGCCCCGAGTCCGTTACCTTCCAGCGTCAGCCAACAAACGAAGCTGAATCAGCCCGGCGAGGTGGCCGAGTCCCACGGCTCGGCAGGGGCAAGGAACAGCAAAGCTGCGGCGGCGACTGAGACTGTGATCTTCGTATATCTGCTTGGCGCTTTTGCACCCGGTGTCGCGGAGGAATGACAAAACGGTGGAAGGAACGGTCTGAAGGCTCGTTTTGGTTTCCGTTCCGCCAGGAACCCTCTCGAACTCCGACTCCTGGGTAGTCGTCGTTTTCGCTTCCGGTGAGTTTGGAGGAGCTGCTGTGTTAATAATGTGAGCTCGTGATTAGAAATGGTCCCCTCAACAGAGCTAAACTCGGCCCGGAACTCAATAATGGAGCAGCCCCCTCAATAGAGCTAAACCCGGCCTGCACGTAACAGTAAACTCCTGTCCCGGTTTTATTTTTCTAAAGTTCAGGTAAATAAACACTCCTACTACAAAGTGACGCCCTGGAAGTGGAGAGACAAAGGCAGGACGTAATCGGAAGTCGAACAGAGTGCAGGCCTGTGGACTCGATTGCGAGCGAGTCCACAGGCCTGCACTCTGTTCGACTTCCTCCCTCGCAGTTTTTTGGCCACAAAATCGCCTGCCCTCAAACAACTAAAGAGGATCAGGGAGGCGGACCCCCCGCCACACATGCGGATTCGGGATGATCAGGGGAGGATTACGAGTCAGGAGATCACATTAAACGAGAAGTGGGTAATGGATACCTTGCAGTGACAGCCGCAGAAGGCCAGACCTGTTTTGCAGGCAGACCTCGAGAACGACAGCGCATACGGACCGACAGGCCCGTGCAGCCAATGAGTACTCAACTTAACCCTGGCTTATGCTGCTTCTAAGCGCTTTCTTGTGTACGGCACCGACATCCAAGTAGCTGCAAAAGCATTCAAATCCGGGTCTAGCGGCCACTGTGGCCGCACTAAAGGCCAAGACAAAGCCAGAATCATGTCCATGTGCTGGGGGAACATCGCGGCGACGATGCGACCGATAAAAGATCTCCATGGCCACCCAAAGAAGAACCCAACGAGATATCACAGCTGAGGCATGGGAGGCGTTCGACTTGAGGGTCGCTCTTGGTCGAATATTGCCAAGAATGTGCCGACTTGACATAAGCTATGAGCTCTCCAGGCCAAAGTCGAACGACGATGTACGAGTTGATGTCCAATGTGGAGTGCCGCGCTACGTGCAGGAGAGAAGTCTGCGACTGCGACTTATACGATCACGACGAAGCGAAGTCGGAGGAGGCAGCGATGTTGTCGTCTTTCGCCGATGCATCCTATGCTGCTGATTAAGATGTGTCTAGCAGCGGGAATGTGATGGCCAACAGATCCCAAAGCGAAAGACTTTCGTGCCTAGCCCCTCCGGACTGCCGTCCGGAGATGTCCGGAGGTCACGGGTGTCCAGTGGTGTGGAGACTGGAGGTCGCAGACGCACGGCAAGAAGACACCCCAAGGTAAGTACAAGCATACTTGCTCTTGCCCTTGACGTCGTCCGCATTGCCCTTGCCCCGGGCCGCCTGTTCCGCTGGTCCACGGCGAGGCACACAGTGCTGCACTCCTTTCGTCCCGCACATCCTGGCCATCTAGGTCGTCCCCAACAAGGCTTGTCGAAGCAGTAGGCGAATGTGTCTTGGAGCAGCTGAAAGGGCTCGCGTTCACAGGGCCGCACGCGCTGCGCAACCAACCTTGTCAAAGGGCAAGTTCCCCGGCAGGTCGATGAAATCAAGGTCGTGGACCAGGACTAGGTCCTGGATGGTCCAACAAGCATCTGTGCCAGGTGCATCGGCGAACGTCAGAACTAGTTTGACGGCTGCCTCGACGTAATGCCATGCCTACATTACATAACGGGAGTGCCTGGAAGGGCATGGACATGTTGATCCAGGAGGCCACCTTTGTCAAGAACAACACCAGCATCATGGAGGGTTCACCCCGGCGCAATGGACCGTTGGGACGATGCCGGTCACGGCGGGCATTCTCGTCGCCCAAGACAGCAACTTCTTTTTCCAGCCTGGAAACACTGGACAAATGTTGAGCTGTAGCTGAGCTGTACCTTTGTGCTTGTGAGCTCGAGGCTGTGAACAACCAAAGCTACCAGAAGATCCCCCACTGTTTGGCTAGGGGGGGGGTGCAAAATGGAAAATTCCATTTTGCACGTTGCTATGCTGACTCTTGGAACATGTGCACACAAAAGCTTGCAGGACCGCACAATCCAGACCATCTCGCTCTCTCGCTCTCGCTCTCTCTCGCTCACTCTCGCTCTCGAAATGCAGGACATCACTGAGCCGAAGTTGCAATGCTCGCCGGATTGTTTTCATCGCGAGAAAAAATAACCGCCCGGTATCTCGGAGTGTTCTTCATGGTTTGTGTATGTTTCTGTCCCTCGCCTGGACATGCTTGAGCTCCCTCTGCTGAGGTGATGTCTGAGAAAGCTCCCAACACCTTGGCGCCAGTCGCTGCTCCTTCTGTTGGGTTCTCGGAATCGCAGCCACGGGAAGGGAAAATGGAAGTGTGGGGGGGGTGAGCCCGCCCATCCTCGAGACAGTTGTCGCTTTCGGGACGTACCCCCCCCGCCGTTTCCAAATATCTAGCTTTGGGCAGGTTCCCTGGTATTGCGGGCTCTAGGCACGTGGTTTGGGATGATCGCAGTCCCGGGATTGTCCCGGGCGGGCCAAAAATGGAAATCTCGGGGGGGTGAGCCCGCCTATCCTCGAGGCAGTTGTCGCTTTCGGGACGTACCCCCCCCGCCGTTTCCAATTATCGGCCTTCTCGTTTGTTCCTGGGTGGTGTGGCGACTGGGTGGCTCAGCTGAGCTTGGCAGAATAGACTAGATTGGAGCCCCGACCAAGGAACCGTCCGGGTTCGCACCACAGGCCCGGAAATTGGAAGTGTGGGGGGGGTGAGCCTGCCCATCCTCGAGGCAGTTGTCGCTTTCGGGACGCACCCCCCCCGCCGTTTCCAATTAACTAGCTTTGGGCAGGTTCCCTGGTATTGCGGGTTCTAGGCACGTGGTTTGGGATGACACACACACGCACACGCAGCCACATGTCCGCCATCACTGACACATGCCGACATGACTGGCGCTCGATCTGTCTCACTGTCTGTCTGCTTCTCTTCTGCCCGAATCCCAGGATAAAAATGATCAGGCCCAAGTCAGACCTAATGCCTTTTATGTCGGGTTTTCCAAGGTATAGTCACCGCCGGTTGCACCACCGGCATAAATGGAAAAACTTTGCCCGAACGTCCCGGACCCAGGCATTCAACATCCGGCCCTATGCTAGCCACCCCCCCCTAAATGGAAATTTATATTGGAAATGCCCCCGGCAACCCCCCCCCCCAGATCCATTTAACAAAAGAGGGGGATACCAGAAGATAGCAATCACCTTGGTCTCGTCCCTTCTTTGCGAAAGGCAAGCCACTGGCAACAACCAGCTACCGCAGGACCGCAAGAAACCCATGGCCGCATCATTTGTTACAGGAGCAGGTTGTACGTGAACATGGTGATCGTTGTGGAGGTCACCACCATGTAATGAATTTAAGAACGGCCCTTTGCAAGTTGAACTGCGGCAGGACCATTGAGGCCCTGGATCAAGACGAGGACGGCGAATTTGATGACCTGCCTGCCAAGCTGGATGCGATCTACAATGACAGCGACCTGGCATGACCTGGCCACGCGGTTGGCAAGAGGAGAGGAGCTTGACGAGAAGGGCAGCCAAGACGAAGAAGGCAGGGCACAGGCTAGCCACAAGGCCGCCCAACGACCCTTGCAGTCCCTGGCAGTGTGGAGGTTACCCTGGACTGCTTTGAGATATCGACAGATGCGGGCACAAGCGTTTCATTATCCTTTTGCGGTCTGCATGGGCGCCTTTTTCCACACTTCGGCGACAGTTTCACCAGACGGCGGGGTACCGTCCTCAAGGAAGTGCTCGAAAGAAATAATGATTATCCGGCTGGACTGGGATGGCCCACAAGCGGGACTGGACTGCAGCACAAAACCGACTCGCACCGAAAGAGCCCTTGCGCAACACAAGTTGGAAGTACAAGTAAGCACTTTGCTCAGTCAGCTGACGTGGTAAATGGGTGACGGAAATCGTGCAGCGAAGTCTCATTTTTCCCAAAATGGATCCTCTAAACCTGCAAATATGTTTGAAGTAACTGTGGTCACGATAATATTCCAAAGAAACAGCCCCAGACCGCAAAACTACAGAACCATGCTCCGCGCAACCTCACCCACATCTTACCCAAGAGCCAGGCACCTGTCGCTGAAACATACCCATGCATGTATGCTGAAATCGCAATGTGGCGTTCACTTCCACAGGCTACGTTTTCTGCCTTGGATGGAACGCCATAAAGGTATTCTTGTGACCTAGTCTTTAATGCTCGTGCGAAGATGCTGGCCGTAGTATGTGGCATAACGTATTGGCAGCCGCGGTGCGCGTCTCAGCTCGTTGACTTCAGCTTGATGGGCTCCTTCCAGAGCAGCAACCCGAGCAGCAACCAGTCTTCCAGCGGGCTTCCCCCGTGAATCTTCGACGCTCAAGGCAGCCTCCCACGAGAGCTCTGCTTTTCTATTCCGGTTCATCAGTGCTTATCTACAAAACATCACGAAGGAGCACAAACGCGAAGGTACTGTAAGGTCAAGTTCTTCTGCACTTGCACAGCAAAGCCCTGCCAGGATAAGACGAGGTGAAGCTCTGGGAATCGGTGGCACATGTCAGCTGTTGACTCCCGGGCCGACGACGGCTGTACTTAGCATGCTTCAGATGATTCGCACGAAGACGCGAACGAACAGCCCCAGGTCGAATACGAGCAGCTGGAGAAGGGGTTCATGGGACAAACCAGCACGGGAACAACAGAAGTGCTTCAGTCCATAGCTCCACAACTCAAGCCTCATGTCCAGTTCAATCCAACGCATGGGCTTTCTGCGAGACCACTTACTTCGTGTTCAGCATTCGCCACACGAAACCCGTTCCTCATGTCCACATATCTTATCCCTTTCGAATCGTTTCAACACAGCCGAGCCTCGCATGCCACGAGCCGAGCCTCAGTTTCGGCCCTTTAGGCCTGCGTGACTCTCGCGGGAATGAACATGATCGAAGCTGCCTCCATGGAGTTCAGGGCGTGCTGCTGCGATGCCAGTTGTGCCTGCACAATGCACGAAAACCGCCGTTTTCGCCTGCAGGCACGATGCCTCGAGGTCGGCCGGCGAGTGCCTGGAGGCCTCCATGGGAAGTCGAAGGCACGTCTCTTCGTCTCCTCTAGACAGGCCTTCGGACTGTGCAAGCCCGGCTGCAAGATTTGATCCATCCTGGCCGTTCGCTGAAGCCGTCGGCAGACGCTTCGCGCTTCGTGGAAACCTCCGGCCTTGCCAGGCTCTCACTTAGCCCATTTGGCGTTGCGAAGTCCTCGTCAGAGTAAGATCAAGCCGTTACAACGCGAGAGCGTAACGAGATGCGCGAGATGCGCTTGAGAGAGAGAGAGAGAGAGAGAGAGCGGCCTGTGAGCATCTGTGAGCCCTGGCAATCCCTGGCCCAGCCTGGGCCTGGCTGAGCTTCAGATGGCGCATGGCGACCGTCAGCGGACCGGCCTCGGAATTCGCCATGGCCGAGAGGTGTAGGCAGCTCCCTGGGGTGGAATCACATCATAGATGCAGAGGCCTGAAAACAACAACACGAAGCCAGAAGAGCAGCTTTCCGAGCCTCTACCTGAAATTTCTGGCTATCCCGATGCCTGCAAGCTGTCTCGATACTGTAGGCGCGTGACACCATGATCAAAGACCACGTCGCAGGTCCGAGCCTGGCACAGTCTGGAGCCCTCACATGCACGGCCTCTGTCACAAGCTCTGAATTTGAGCAGAGCTCCTCGTCATCCACGCGTTTCACAACTCCGACGTCTCCGGCAGAGAAGGAAGGGAATTGGCGTCCTGGCAATACCTGGCTCTGATCCAAGGCCATTGGGATTTCAAGAAAGAGCAGTTGGCATAGCTGGCATGAACTCACAATCGGTTACGCTGCGACATGTCGAGTGTATACTACAGACTTACTACAGCAACAAGACAACATCCAGGAGTTGCATGACTCTCCTTGATTTCGCATTCTTTGCATCACCTAGAGAAAAGATTGTGCAGTCAGAGAACCGTTGCTTGTGCTGTTGATTCCACACGATATTGCTGACACCCGGATACCACACGGTTTCATCGCATCCGCTGACAAGGAACATCTTCCAGTGGCGCTACAATGGCTGGACATGGCTTGACCCGTGTTTTGCAGACAGCATTGAAGATCTTTTCGTGAGCACACTTGTAGCATGGGAAACAGATACAAACAAGCCTGAACAGGCCCGATGGAAGCTCAACGTCAGCACAGTGCAGTCGAATCGTGGGAGTTGGTTGGAGCGCAACAGACCGTCGACAGCTCCGCTGGGACCAGCAGGTGACAAAGGTTTCTTCTGTGAGCTCACATGCATGCAGTAGGTCAGGACGCAGGGGCTAGTTCATAAAGGCTCGAGTCAAGACATGTTCATGTAAACTCCATGAGCTATGCTGAATAGCTGTAAATGCACAGCAGGCTTAAATCTGAGGGTCCTTGCACATGTATGATAGGCCAGGTGCGACATGGAGTGGCAAAATCAAAACCAACAGCTCGACGCCGGTTCAAACGCCTTCCATTGGGGCATGTTGGGACATAGTAGTAGCATGAAGTGCAGGGCGAGTCGGAGGAACTCCACGTTGAGTCAGCACCCATCTGTGCCCTTGGACATCACTCTTCGGCAAAAGGCAGTTGCAGCTTCTATTCTTTTGCGATCATGCGTGGCGCTGATGCACTCCATTGGACTGAGTCTGCCGTTCGGATTCTAGCATTTCGCACCTGGCTGGCTGAGCGGCAGCTCAAGCTCAATTTCCTGCTACTTGGTTCTGCCGTGGCACCACGTAGTAGTAGCAGTAGTAGTCGTCGTCGTCGTGGTGGTGGTGGTGGTGGTGGTGCAAGTGGTGGTGGTGGTGGTGGTGGTGGTGCAAGTGGTGGTGGTGCAAGTGGTGGTGGTGGTGGTGGTGGTGGTGGTGGTGGTGGTGGTGGTGGTGGTGGTGGTGGTGGTGGTGGTGGTGGTGGTGGTGGTGGTGGTGGTGGTGGCGGTGGTGGCGGTGGCAGTGGCTTTGTGGTTGACTTCGTCGTCGTGGTTTCGTAAAGTTGAGTAGTTATCGTCCTAGTCGTCGTCGTAGTAGTAGTAGTAGTAGTAGTTGTTGTTGTTGTTGTTGTACTTGCCTCCTCCCCCGCCGCTTGCTCCTGCTGCCTCAGCACAGTAACTGCGGATGCCTGCACGATGGAGCCCACACGGATGATGCCATCCTTAGGAGAGACGCATAGAGACGCTGTGCACGTGCCCAGTTGCTGGAAACTCTGGGTCCTCGGCATGCGACGCCGGTGAGGATGCTTGATGACCTCGGAGAAACAATCGCGATGCACGGCAGTGGATGGGTCGCAAGCACTGCGCGAGCAAAGGAGCTTGAAGCGACGTCGATGCGCGAGGGCAAATGCATTTCTGGGACCTAGCTCCGCCCGCAAGCATGGAGCATGTCGACTGCAGTTGTCGGCTTTTGAGTGTGCTGGCAAAATTCGGCCAATCCCCTGTCAGGATCAATCGCTGTGCTGATCGTGAAAAGCATTTCAAGGCTTGAGGCATCTCCGTGTGGTAGCATGTGGTCGCATGTGTCCTATTGTGTCCTGTGCCCTGCGAGCAGTACTCCCGGTGCTTTGGATCGGATGGCAGACCCATAGAGGACGCAAGTGGCAAAAGTGCAACGTCGTCTCTTCCACTGCGTGTGACTGACCGGATCTCGGCTGGTAGACTGCCCAGCCGCTTAAGCCCAGACCTGAAGCTGCCCATGCGAACCTTGCTCTGCTCATCCAGCTTACCAATACTACCCCGCTTTCTGGCTCATCCAACTACTAGCAACAATGTTTGTGCTAGTAGTAGCAGTCGTCGTCGTAGCAGTCGTAGTCGTAGTAGTCGTAGTAGTCGTAGTAGTCGTAGTAGTAGTAGTAGTCGTAGCAGTCGTAGCAGTCGCAGCAGTCGTAGCAGTCGTAGCAGTCGCAGCAGTCGTAGCAGTCATAGTAGTCGTAATCGTAGCAGCAGCAGCAGCAGCAGCAGCAGCAGGCGGAGGAGGAGGAGGAGGAGGAGGAGCAGTAGTAGTAGTAGTAGTAGTAGTAGTAGTAGTAGTAGTAGTAGTAGTAGTAGTAGTGGTAGTAGTAGTAGTCGTCGTTGTAGTGGTAGTGGTAGTGGTAGTAGTACTAGCAATACTAGCAGTAGCAATAGTAGTACTAGCAGCAGCAGCAGCAGCAGCAGCAGCAGGAGGAGGAGGAGGAGGAGTAGTAGTAGTAGTAGTAGTGGTGGTAGTAATATTATTATTATTATTAGCGAAAACAATGGCAGTATTAATGATCATAACAGCAATAAGCACCATAATACAAACATCAAACATTAACGACAGTGATATCACCGAACATGCGAAATTTCTAAACAAATCCAAATAATGCCGACAACAACAACAGCAGCAACAGCAGCAGCAAGAGCAACAAACAACAACAGGATAATTACAGACATAGTAACCGTGTAAACAGTAGTAGCAGCAGAAGCAGTAGCAGCGGCAGTGGCAGCGGCAGTAGCAGCAGCAGCAGCAATACCAGTAGCAGTAGCAGTAGCAATAGCAATAGCAAAAAAAGTTGTCAGAGCAATAGTAATAGTACTAGTAATACTATGACATGGAATTAACTATATAACAGTAGTGCTACTAGTAGTAGTAGTAGTAGTAGTAGTAGTAGTAGTAGTAGTAGTAGTAGTAGTAGTAGTAGTAGTAGTAGTAGTAGTATTAGTAGTAGTAGTAGTAGTAGTAGTAGTAGTAGTAGTAGTAGTAGTAGTAGTGGTAGTAGTAGTTGTTGTTGTTGTTGTAGCCGTATGTAGCCGTCAGTAGTAGCAGAAATATGCCAATAGCAACAAAAAACCATCAGTAGTATACCAACATCGTTGATGCATGCACAGCACTTTTCAGTATTCTGAAAAGGTCATGCCGTCACGCTGGTGACGTCTGGACATTGCCTCTGCAAGAGAAAAAAGCAGGCACAGGTGGATCAAAAATTGGCTGACACAAAGATGCCTCGCAGTTGGCCTTTGGCCTGCATACGGACGTGGAATATTTTGCAACAGCAACCGAATATGACAGAATGACAAGCATGTCGCCCGGTGATGAACCGGGCTAGAATGGGCCGGACCTCGTGAAAAGCAAGCCGGAACGCATTTACCTGTCCAGACATGTCCACACAAAGCAAGGCCCATCGAAGATCCTAAACCGATGGCACCTCGAAGGACTTCGGCTGCCCGGTGCGATCAAAACAAAGAGCTTTGTCGAAGGACCAATCCTGACGTCTGTCTGGACGAATAAGATTCGAAATAAATTGGGTTACTTCGGGCTGTTACCATTTGAGAGACGGCTCTCGCATCAGCGACCTGTGCATTGGCAGAAAATGCACGGCAGCATGTCCGATTTCTTGTATCTCGCCAAGTCTGTTACATCTTGGTCTTCAGCAGCGTTGAAGGCTGACAGGTAGCCTGGGCATCCGGACACTGTGCCGGAATGGATGAAAACTACAGCACGCGGGCAGCAAGTTTAGCTGGTGCTAGAAGCTCCATGTGACATCGATGGTGCAGCATTAAGCACAGCCATTACGAGTACGGCTCATCCAGCGATAGACAAAGCATTAACGAATGGACATCTTCGGCATTGGAACAGCCCAGAACAAGCCCAGCAAAACTATTGTGTCTCCTTGAATATGCCAACCAAGCAGCCATGTTCCAGAGCTTCGTCCACTGCCAACCGCCTTCCGCATGCCACGAATCACACAATCGGAACACGAGAGAGAGAGAGACAGAGATAGCCAGCTTACGGATGCGGGCGCCCCTCTATGTGATTCTGTAATCGCCCATCGAGTCATGTTCATGTTGGCTTCGCTTGCCTTTGCGATCCTTTGAGTCTTGCACCCCCGCCAGCTGTGTCTAATCAATCTAATCGATAAAACAGTCTGTGTGAGCACGACAGGCCAATAAGGCGAAAGCTCTTGCCGGCCATTCTTGGTGTGTTGAAACCCCGCGCTTGTTTTCCCGACATCACTGGTGTTCCCGAGACGGATACCAGCCGAGTCGGAATCGACTTTAGCCTGAAGCTCGCTCTTCCACCGCTTTATATTGCAGTGCCGAATGTAACTATAAAAGTAATCATGAGGGAGTTGGCAAGTCTACCAGGCCTGGATGGATCCAGCCGGAGCATTTCTACCTGTCACGCTATGACAGCTGCGTGTGACCCGGTCACTTCAAAAGAAAGGCACAGTAATGGCGCAAGGCCCAACGCCCAACCCCCCAAGCCAGCTGCCATCAGGTCAACTGCCAGCGCATTGGAAGGCTGCGTGCCGGAGCTGGAAACGATCTCTCGAATCCCCTTAGTGAGGACGGGAGACTTTGTCCGCGCGTATCAAAAGGCGAACATCATTCGCGATCTTTGCCTCGTTGCCGGCCTGTGCAGATTTGTTGCCTTTAGCGGTGTGGCAAAGAGGGAAACAAATCACGTAGCAGCTCCAAGCCAGCCAAACTTGTCTCAGCCACCGGCACATCTGTACAAACTTCTTGGCTGGGCTACAGTCTGGAATCCAATCGAAGTCCTGACCATGACTGGCCACAATAGCAGTCCAATTGCTGCAATAAGTCCTGCCTCGGGCTTTTGAAAACCCAGGGTGCCAAGAATCTTCCTGAGGCTATCGCAGTGCCGAGTTTGCGCTTCCGCGTGGTTTTTGAACCATACTTGCGCCTCACTTGATCTAACGAGTCTTTGCCTTCGAAAATGCACCTGCCGGAGCTGTCCCGACGCACCACAGCGACACCGATTCAAGAGTCAGTTAGGATTTGCACGCCTTCGCGTGAGCATCTCACCGAGAATACAGCCTGCTGACCACATGTCCACTGCCTCGGCGGTATGCATGTCAAATATGTCAATGTATCGTGCTCCCAAAAACGCCAAAACCATCCAAAACCCGACCCGAGTGAAGACAGTCCCAAACTACTGCCGCATCCAGCACTTAATCGCGCTCGCCAAAACGCCAAAGCCCGACCCGATGCAAGACAGTCCGAGATTTTTGCGACGGACGCACTAACCACCTCCATGCTCCGTGAACTGCGACCGATGCTACATTCTTTTGGCAAAGGTCTCGAACAGTTTACGGCCGATACCATCTGGTCACGAGCCCAAATGCGACTATTGGAGGCATCTCTGCTCTCCGCTCTGATACACCATCAAGCCTCTTGCAACCTCTTTGCAACACCACAGTAGCCCGTGGCCCGTAGCCGCTGGTCGCGTCTTGCTGGAAGATTCACAGCAGTTGGTGCTAAAGGATTCGAAGCGATGTCAGCGTTGGCCACCCGCCCCTTCCACTCCGCTTTGCTCAGGTCACGTATTCAAGCCTTTCAGTCGAACGGATAGCAGCGTCTGTTGCATTTAGCTGATACTCCTTGCTGCTTAATCGAAGTTGTCGAACTCCATGGGGCGAAGTCAAAGAACTGCGCCACGCGATTCAAACCCTTTGATAGCACTCCAGTTGGTCTGAACGTTCCACAGTCATCGCAAGCGGAACTCCCGAGCGCTAATACAAATCATGTCACAAAGACTCATCGTAAGACCTCATCAAAGCGATCAAACTCGCACACAGCACGATTGTGTGACAAACCAGTCGTGTGATGCGAATGAATGCTTAAATTCTGTATGCGCCTTCTTCGCTCGGCTCTTTTGCAGGCAGTGCTCAACGTTCACCAGCTGAGGAGTTTCGTGCTTCAGTATGAATCCGATGTCAATCAGATTTGAACTTGGCAATCCAGCCGTAGCAGTGCTCTTTCGGACCCCGCTTGGACGTGGCTCCACATGCTGCTTGGCAGGGTACTGGAGTGCAGCTTGGACGATCTGGCATGCACAAGGCAGCATCTCATCATCCAGTTCACGGCAGAACTCTGCAAAGCCACGCAAGGTAAGACATTCCATGAGAGCCCTCTCGAAACCAATGGTCGGTCTTGGTTGGTGTTTTCATGGAAGAATGGAGCACCTGTACAACTTTGCTTGACTTGCTGCTTCTTGCAGAGTTGACCGGAGGTTCGACAGCTGCTGCGTCCCCCGAATCGGGTGACTCCACCTGGTTGTCGATGTCTTGCGTGGTCAGGCGCTGACGTCTGCCACTATCTTCAGTTTTTGCAGACGAGGCTCCTTGGTGGATTCTCTTTGAGGGTCAGATTGCTTCCGACAACATCCTGGAATCCTCTTGCTCACTGCCCCCACACGCGAAGCTTCAACATCGCTGAATGATGCCTCTCCATGCAATTCAGCAGCTGTTGCAACGAAGGCACTTGGAGTGGCTCATCCGACATGTTCTACCAAGCTCGGACAACGGAATCTCGGCCAACACTTGCCATATCTTGCCATGTGCCCATGCGCTGATTATGCAGAAATACAGCCTGCAGACCACATTTGCACTGCCTTGAACGAGGCCTGAGAATGAAATGAATGAAAGTTTCAGCTGAGAGCGCGTCATACGTGTACCTGGACGCCGTCAGCACCACCTTCACTCGTCGTTTTTGGCGAGCAAAACCGAAGAATCTGCTCATGGCCAACCTCCGGGGCCCGGTAGTGGCGCGTCACCACGTACTCAGTCAGCATCATTGCGTCATGGCCGTCCTGGCAGACAATGGCAAGCAAGGATTGCCTGGGAAGCACTGCGTCCGCTGAAATTTGAGGGCTCCAGGGTACAGAACTTTAGAGAGGGCGCAATGAGCGCGCTTGCCGGCTCGGCGCACTAAACAGCACTAAACCGCAACTTTAGAGACAATCCTTGAAAAGGCCTACAGTGTAGGCCCTTCCGTAGGCCTGTTCTTGTACGCCAAGCGTCTCTAGTCTCGACATGTACAAACTACCCACCCTGCAGCATCCTGCAGCCCATAGACGCCGTGACACTTCTAAGATGCAAGTTCGCACACGCTCTTTTGTTCGTTGGATGCGCAAGTGCCGACAGTCTTTCCTGGCCTAGCAAGGAACAACAAACGTCCTGGAGGCGATTGGGGCGGCGGTGGGCTCAAAAGAAAGCCTGTGGCTGACGTACCTGGATCTAGCTCAAGGCTCTGGGCAGAGCCGGAGCCACAAGCTGCAACTATACAAATGCTTCGCACACTTGTGGTACATGATGACACGAGACGCTTAAGGAATCTTAAGGTGCTCCATGGTGCTCCGCTTCTCTCCGCATGGTGTCCAGCACATGCCGAGTCCTCCTCCGAGTCGATGCCTCGCGCCATGCCGAGATCACCGATCTTCACCTCTGCGAGTAGCAGTTCGAAGTCACGGGCGGAACGCTTCAGAAAGAAACGGCACTGTAGCCGCCGCCTGGCCGCCGGCGCGTACTAACACGTTCCGAGGTTTCAAGTCCTGAGAGCCGTCTGCAGCTTTGGCTGGTCGCGCCGGTGGCGCTATGGTGGTGCTTTCGTCTGAGATCTCGACCCTATGGATAACGTGTGCACATCGTAGGCACAGCAGTCCCCGAAGCATTTGATAAAGGACCTGCAGCGAAATTATGCGAAATTGCTGACGCCATCTGACACTTTCATGACAGAACGCAAAGTCGCTGCCGAGGAGTGGACGCACTGCACCTGCTTCGCGACGCTACTACGGGCATGCGTAGTCATGGCTAGCAATGGCTATAGCATGCCATAACCCAGCTGGCGCCTGGTGATCACTCAGATAATTCTTGGATTCATGGATCAGCACATGCAAGTCGCCCTCCATCCTGCGCCAGAGACATCCAGAGACAGCGGCGCTGCAACCAACACCCGGCGAGAGCCGGCGCTTCCAGGCCTCTCCAAGCAAAGGTAGGCATCCTCGAGCCAAGTATGGCGATCTCAGGCATGCCGTCAGACCTGTGGCATCTAAAGCCCACCTGTGGTGTCAGAAATCTAGCAGCTGCAGGCTGCAGGTCCTTGAAGTCGGAGCCATTAAGTATCAGCTGGTGCAAGTGCAGCAGGTTCGGGTGCTGCAGGTGTGCAAGCAGTCGCACCTCTCGCAGTTCCAGTTCTGCTTGCGCCCGAACCTCTTTAGGAATCCTCGGAGCACCCCGCAACAAATTTACACATGAACCACCCGAGGTCCCATGCTTCACTGTTTCTTGCAAATACCTCCTTACAGTCCCTACAGATCCCTACAGTGCTTCTCATTCCGGTACAGGCTCCATACTACAACAGCTCTCCAGCCTACATCTACTGATGCGGCATGGCCGTCCATCGATCATTTTAGCACCTCGCGGAGAGTTCGAAGCGCCAGTATCGGATGGTCGAACACACGCTCGACCTGAGCAACTGCAAGGCAAAGCTCCAACTGCGATCACGGCGTGTGACCCAGCTCATCTTCCTGCCCTTCGTCCGAGTGTAGCAGCATGGCCGCCCCAGTCTCTCTTTCTACTGTACCTCCCAACACAAACCTTTCATGCGCTGAGTTCCATGCCTTCTTGACAGCATACTCTTTGCCCATGTCAGTCCGAAACGCTGCAACCTCGTCAGCAATGAGCCAAGGCAACTCGAGCAAGCGCGCAACTGCACAGGACGTGCACTGCGTTCAAGACAGGCACGATGTAGGAACGAGAAACCAAACGTGACAGTAACTGTTCCTCGACCTGCGTAAACTTCACAGATAGCAAGACAAGTCGTGTCAAAGAGAAGCCTGAGACTGGACGAGGGCAAAGCATTTGCATAAGCGCCGGAACCCAGCCACTGTGCCAACCGCCAACTGCCACAAGCAAGCACCCGAGTGTCTATCAGAGAACATTCTGCTTCCTATCAATGGAACGCTGAGCCTTCGTGGCAAAACGAAGTTGATCTTGGATGTCTTCGTCGGGACGGAAAATGTCCTGAAGATGGAAGTACGTCCTCCATTGCTCGTTCAAGCCTCTTTGGCCCTTCAGCAGCTGCTCCTGAGGAGAGCTTCGCTCTCCATGCCAGAACAATGCGTTAAAGGCCATCGCCTATCTGCTGATGTCTGCTGTTGTCTGATGCGAAACCCCACGAACAGGTAGGAGACTGCTTCTCCCATCAATGCCTCAATGGACTGTTGCGATTCATGTAGGAGTACCATCTTCAGCATGACATCTGTCCTTTCAGAGATGGAACCTCGACTGTCCGGCGGACCTGCTACGACGACTGACGCTTCAGGCTTCAGCTACTTCGATTGCCTTCATGCCCACAATTACATCACAAGCGCAAGGTCTGAGGTCGCACTCCTTTTGTCTTGCTCAACCCTTCACTGCCTCCGTATGGAGATCTTTTCATGCAAGGTAAGCATTCTCCAAGATCCTTCGATTTTTTATCAAAGCGCTCAGCCCCAACGCTCGCTGCAGGTCAAGCAAAGTTTGAATGCCGCCCGCCTGTTTCAACGAGCGCTTCTCGAGTGGCGGACCAGTCATCAAACTGAACGTGGAGAATAACTTGTGGAAACAGGCTGCGGAATTGGCAAAATACTGCTAAGCAAGATATGCAAGGGGTGTGGACCGCATAGAGGCGCACATAGCCATGAACATCGCGTGACCCTGTCCGAATCCGTTCAACCCTGCTTGCAACCTCCAACAGGGCATGACGCTCGGCATGCATCGAGCGATCGTGCTCCACGAATACGGAAGCCAACAAGAGCTCTGACAATCCAGGAGCCTCACCAGCCTCTGTCGCGTCTGTCTTCGATGCAGAATAAAACAGCTTCCCTTCGTTTTCGCAGACGAGTCCTGACTCGTCATAAATCTCGTAAGAGCACCAAACAACCAGTGTTTGCGCTGACGCACGTGCAGGCCAAAGACCAGCATTCTTCCGCTGCCAACTACGGGACCACAATGCCTGCCGCGTCAACTTTTGTGCCATCGCGCTCCAGCTGGGGTCGGAAGCACTTAGCCCAAGATCCACCAACGCCTTGCTGGTGTAGCGTGCTCCGAACCTGGGATGGCTTCCAGCAGAAAGGTATAGCTCGGTGCACCCATGTGGTTGCTACAAGCTCTAAAGCTTACAATACTTTGATCCGTCGAAGGGGGGATGCGGTTCTGCTTCAGCATGCATGACCGCATGTGCTTTGAACAACTCTGCGCAGAGAATCGCAGAGAAAGCTGACACGGCAAATGCGGCTAACTTCTTTGACATTGACCTTTGAGCATGTTCTAATCGAATCTTGTCTGCATTTGTGTAGCCTTACCGATTCTTCAGCTTTCCTATATAGTTTTGAACTTCTGTAGCAGTTCAACATGGACAAAACTCAGGGATTCAGCAATGGCTCGCAGCAGGCGGCTCGGCTTAGACCCTGATTGGGGTGCTTTCTCCTCGCGGGGTGGAATTTCTCGGGGAGCACCAGCCCCAGCTAGGTCTGCATTCGTGCCACACATACTTAGCACCGAGCTCTTCTTGCCAGGCCAGCGGAGCTCCGCCGGAGACACTCTCCTGGCTGCTCAGACTGCCGACGTGGTCGAGGTGTTGTTCAGGTCTTTGCCACCCTTTCAAGCCTCCGCTTGGCTTGGATTGACTTGTCTACGAGAGCCTCGCGAGGCTGTTCCGCGTGTGTGCAGCTCTTCCACCTGTACGTGAAGGACTAAGTCCTCTCTGTCTTGCGAAGACGTCGTCGACGTTTTGCAAAAGGGGGTTCTCCGGCATTGCCGAGCTATTCCTGGACGCGGCTTTAGGCTCTGTTGTGTGTCTCTTCAGCCGTGAGCTGTGGCTTCTGCTCAACCTCACTCGCAGGGTTGTCGGCTTTTTTGCTACGGGACTTGCCATCCAGCCAAAACTGTGGAGTGCTCGGCAATATCTGCAGCGATCAAAGAAGCTGTAGTGGAGATGGCGGGAGTCTTCGCTCCTGCTCGCATTTCTGAGCTCCGGCAGTTTAATGCTACCGTTTGCACGTCAAAACCACTGCTCGCGCTTCGGCCAGCTGTGCGGTTGTTTGCCTTTGGTTTGCTAGTGCATCTAGTGCTCTTTCTGCGCCTCTGCCGCTCGCGCTTCGGCTCGCTAGGCGGCGGCGGTATGCGCGCCTGTTGCAGGACCTTTGCGTCCTCCAGCTCTGCACTTCGCCAGCTTCGGTGCTGCAGGTGGTGCTGCCTGTTGCGGAGGCCGCCTGCACAGCTGTTTCATGCTTTTGTCGTTTTGCAGGTTTCCGGGCCGGCTTGCAAATCCCCATTTTCTAGGCTGCTGGGCTGCGCCTTTTGGACCTTATGGTTGTTGCTCAGGACCTCAGGACATGTTATGCAGGCAGTGAAGTGAAGAATGGCTCATGACTGCTGTTGGTCAGCTCTCAGCACCTGCTTTGTACCTTCTTTGTTTTCGTGACGAGGCAAGGACGAGTCGGGCACGCCAATCGGGAGGAGTGTTGCTCAGTGCTCCTGTATACTGCCACACCTGGAGGTGAGCGAGGACCTGTCCCTTCAATGCTCGCGTGATGCGGGTCACGCATTGCGGACCCAAGGCGGTTTTGCATCGTTGTTTGATTTGGCAAAGCCATGACGAGTCCCGCCAGGACCGATTCAAGAGCGAAGCAATTGCTAAGTTTTACACTGTGCATCAATGAAAGCCACAATATATCCAGGCAAATGTATTTAAGCAAGCGAATTCACTGAATGCCGAAACGGCATCCGTCTACCAAGAAGCCCGTAGAGCTCTTCCAACTGGCCATCCCTAAGGATTGCTTCCCGCGCTACCGCATCAGCTTCTGCGATCAGACAGTTTAAACGTTCGAGGACAGGCTGATAGACAATCTTGTCGAAGAGTGCTTCCAAACCTTGCCTTTCACAAGCAGTTGTGTGACGAGACAGACATTCCATGCCGGCAACAATGTGCTTGGTAATCTCCTGGCACTTTGCCTGTGTGCGAGGCGACTCCATTGCATTGATTCCTTCGCGTTGTTGCAGCATGCACCGGATCGACTCTTGCAGGGATGTGACCAGCTTGGACACGATGCTGCTTCTTCTCCGGGACCCGTCTGGGGCACATGCATCCAGCACCGTCGCTATGTGAAGTGGTCCCGGGCGCATGTGATGATGTCGCAGCCTCTGGAGGGTATGCAACGCATCCTGCCACATTGAGCTCTTGGCGCAGGCAGATAGAACAGCGGTAAAAGTGATGGCATCAGCATGCATGCCCTCCATCACGCATGGCGGTCCTTCCGAGAAGCCATTGGGGTGGGGGGGCAACAACACTAGGGCAGCAAAATGGGCAACGAGTTGGATTTATCGGGTGATCGACACGGGGAGCCGATGATGATTCCAGATGCTACATGGCGCTACTGTAAAAAGGAAGGCCTGCATGAGATTTGCGAAGTTGTTCTGCGGTGCCCGGCAAACTGAGCATGGCCACAGCGGCATGCCATTGGGAGCCCTTCTCGCATGCGCTGATAATAGCATTGAGAGTGATCCGATCAGGTTGGAGACAATACGAGTGTAGCTTCTGGAGCAACGAAAGAGCACTTATCCAGTCACCTCCTCGCTCACAAGCGCTGATCGCGGCGTTGAAGCAGACCAGGTCAGGTGAAATTTTATCTGCAAACCCCCAGAAAATTTGCAGGCTGCGCTGCCATCGTCGACTACGTGCACAAGAAACCAGTACCGAGCTGTAGCATGCCGCGTCAATGGGCACAGACTCTTCTGTAGCATCATTCAAGAACGCCAAGGCCGCGTGCCATGCATTTCCTTGACCACAAAGACCCGTCACGGTGCTGATGGACTGGATGCTGGGATGCAAGCAACTCTCGCGGATCTGTTGGTACAGCAAGCAGGCTGCTTGCCACCGGCTTGTACTTGAGCCTGTGCCAGCAAAAGCTCGCATAGTCGAGTTAAAGGTGATCACGTCTGGCCACAGCTTTGTTCGCAGCATCTGCTCCAAGAGAGCACATGCTGTCGTCCAGCGTCGTGCGCGGGAGCAAGCGCTGATGGTGGCATTCCATAATATTAGATTCGGCACATTGGCATGTGCGAGAAATCGAAGTGCTTGCTGCCAAAGCGAAGCCCTATCACAAGCGGCAATCGCTGTACCGTAGCTTCTTTCACTGACGGAATGCGTTTTGGCGAGTGCCTGCTCCAGGAGCTGTACAGCACCTGTCCAGTTGTGGCCTCGAGATATCGCTCGCAGGTTTGCAAAAAGACCATGACCTGGCACTGGCTTTTGTTGATTCAACTTGAGAGCTGGTCACGAAAGCTAGAAGCACGAGGTCCGGTGCTGAGCTCTGCAAAGCGATGTGCACGACAGTAGCGGAGGGAAAGTTTGGGCCGGTGAAGGGTGCAGGCGTTGCTCGTTCATTTAACTCTTGAGAAAGTAATGTGCGAACGACAACTAGAGGTAACTCTGGAGAGAAGACCGCACTTCAGTCGCCGAACGTCAGACACAAACAAAACCAAGGGACCTTGAGGAGGGGGGGGGGGAGGGGGGGATGGGGGGGGGCCCCCCCCCCCCACCTTATCCCAGGCACAACCACCTTAAAGGAGGGGGGGGAGGGGAGGGAAGCGCACCTTATCAGTGGAAAACGCACAATGACAAGGTGAAGGGGGGGGGGGGGGCCCCCCCCCCCCCCCCTACCCCCCACCTTAACTCTTGGACGTCCCACCTGATAAGGTGCAAACCCTGCTTTTTCCCTAGTGCCTTAATACAAGTGAATTGCTAAAGGGCAACTCCCGCGAGCTCCACAGAGCTAGCTTTCGTGACTTTGCAGGGTCGTGGTTTCAACTTCTTCAGAGCAATTCATAGCATTACAATGGTTTTCCCGCCCAGCACCTTGAAGATCCATGTCTTGACCTCTTCAGTCATGCCACGGCCTCTCCCATCCAAAGCAGAACTTGGAGAGCTAATTCTTGACGGAGGTAGGCGAGCACATCAACTTCAACGACATCCCAGTACACTTTGGCTTTCAAGTCAATGCCGACATGGCGACCCGGTGTTGGAGCATGATGCACGCAAGTCCAAAACAAAAGCCTTACACCGCAGCCCCTATGTTGTTTCAGAGCAGCTTGGCAAACGGCAGGATCGAATTTGCCTCTGTGGTGAGACAGTCGGGTGAGACCTTGCTGCATGCAGCCAACTTTAGGCCGCAAACAAAAGGAAGCCAAGAAGGATCCTGCACGAATTGGCACATGCATGAGGCTTGGTGCTACTTGCTGCCAACTCGACAATCGAGCCCAGAATCTAAGCTCCGCGCATGGAGTGCCAAACCCGGCAGGACCTGTCGCAGGGGGAGTGCACAACAGCTTGCCGATGTGCCAACTCAAGTGAGATCCGGGCGACGGAGCCCGACTTGTCGCCTGAGGAGGCCAAGTAAAAAGAAGAGCTCAGAGCTCCATCAATTCCCGGAATGGATGTTTTTGCAAGCAGGTGAAATATCGTTCCAAGCGGCTAAAGCATGATCTGGCAGTAGGTCTGGATTGACCTGCAATGGCCAAGGACATGTTGAGTGTCGCTGTGTGCAGCTGCCCGCCTCGGAAGTGACCCACGCACTCGGCACCGGTCGAATTCCGCCCTTCAGAGGCAGTGATGCAGGCGACCCACCAGAAGTGGCTGAGGGCCAGACTGGTGGCAAGTTGCAGGCAGGCGTCTCACACCTGACATCCAAAAGAACACGCTTGAACATGGCAGGTCGCGTGCAACGATAGACAACCAAGAACCAAGCTTTACTGTACAGGTCTTGCCCGCTTGCAGGTAGCCTCTGCTGTCCTGCTGGTATGCACAAACACTCGGCAAGCACAGTTATGAGAGTAAGTTGCAGAATATGGCAGCTGAAGGGTAAAGTAGCAAACTCGATGATCGATAACAGAACTCGAGCCGTCCAGACATGCGCAACCACTCCAGCCAGGTGCCGCTGCCTTGACCTGAGTCTCTCTGATGAAACTGTGAAACCGTATGGCGCCGAAGTGTCTCTTAGTATCTGCAGCTCGGGCACTATGCACTCCCCTGGGCTGAAGCTCTGGGCGAAAGCACTGGCATTGCTCTCATTTGCCTCCGCCTCGTGGCTTTCTGCGTCACAACATTTCTAACTAGGATCCAAAGCCCTGACATTATACAGCCCTGACATTATACAAAAGATTGCAGCGGAAAAAATTGTGCAATTGCGGCACTGGCCTGAGTGTGTTTTGCTTGAAGCACGGCACATCGGGGGTGTGAACGGACAGCGAAGCATTGTCCATTTCGAATTGCCGAACATACCACAACATGAGAGCTGTGCGACAGACCTCACGCGAACCCATTGTAGTAGCCAATGGTGGGGAACAACCCTTTTTGTTCGCGTGTGTATGGGTTTCATCGCATCTAGGAAACAAAGATGGGAAGCTGCGAGAAAGCGAAGGACAACATCACTCAGGGACGAACATGTCTGAATGGTGTAATTTTGCAATACCAACCGCTGCCAAGCTGATCCAGGTTTGCCTCCCACAGGGCGGCAACGAAGCAGCTACGTGCGAGCCTCGTGTGCTGTTTCGTGCAGCGACAACTGAAAGAGGAAACAGCTGCGCAGGGCCATGCTGCAGGATACTACAAGTTTGGATGACACGAAATTCATACCCCTTCGATCCTTCCACATAAAAAATTTCGTTGTGAAATCCGTTTTGCCACTACGATCGACTACTGTGCCATGACTCACGACACCAGCTATCACCAGCTCTGGCGCATCAAAGAACAAAGTGCGTTTCCGATGTCAGCCAGTGCTCGCCGCAGAAACTGCCAGATGCTGCCGTCAACTACGACACGCCAAGCAACTATCGATCATGTGTCAGGGCCAATGTTTTTGGATTGAAGCTTGACTTCAAAGTTCAAAAACATTCGCACGCTTCCAAACCGAACAAGATCGGACATACTGCCTTGGTAGTAGTCAATCCTGCTGCTTCAAGAGAAACCGCACACTCAACGCATCAAGTTGGCTACATAATGCTGTTGCACGACAGATAAGCAGCTAAGACATCGCGTACGATTGCGACCGCGACCGTGCCAAGCCTCCCAAACCATCTGGCAGAAACCAGGCGCGACATCACTTGTCGCCTCCGCAGCGCTTGATAGCGCTTGGGCATTGAGACTCAAACTGCGAAGGCACAGTGGGATGTTTATGACAGTCCTGACCCGCAGAATCCAGCTTGAGGGACCTTCAAGTTGTGGAATCGCACGCTTTGCATAACACAAAAATCCAAAGCCAGCAAACACTAGCAAATGGGCTCGCGACCAAAGGGTGCCAAAGCAGCAAGACTGCTCCAGCCTGTGCCGACGAAGAGAGAACATCAGACGACATAGCATACGGATGCATGGGGCACTCATGGGGCACAAGCACATTGATATATGATATATGCATAGCCATAGCATGCGTGCCTGGTGTCCAGGACGCTCTCCGGGCAGCTCGGACCGAGCTCGCAGTCCACCGGACTCTCCCCTCGCAGCGGAGCGCGGCGCGAAAAGCACGCCCCTCATGACCCCTCTCTCTGCTTTCTGCTCGCAAGGCGTCGCAAGGGTAAGAGGAGGGGGAGCGACCCCGACTTTTGCATTCCAGCTTTCTCTGTTGCCGGCACACGGCCAAAGGAAAGTGCAGCACAACCCCCAGCGAACGCGCACTGGTCTTGATGCCTTTTGTGACACGTGGTTGGTGGAACGAAGCACTGGCCCAACGTACACCAGCTGGACCCCGCCTCGCACTTCGTCCCCCATAGCAACTGCGCTACTGCTCAGAAAGAGCTCGCCCGGCTCTTTGCAAGGGCTTGACTTACTTCATGACGCAGCATCTTCACTCCCATAGAGGCCAGAAATTACTGTGGTGGTCATACACTGCGGCATGCATGTCCTGGCAGTCGTCTCCCCGGTCCACCCCCCACCACTTGCCCGACGGGCGGTGTGCGAGGAGCCACACTACGTCCGCATGGCGAGCTCCGTCTTGTCGAATGTGGATGGGAGGGGATCAACCAGCACGCCGTCTGCAAAAGCCGCATACAGGCGGAACTTACAGCGTCTAAGGTCCTTCAAGAAGCTACCCGAGGAAAGGCAGGCCATGAAGTTCGAGCCAATTTGGGGTGGTCCAGGTATGTCCAGGTCCAGTAGCAGTACAGAACGATTTCGCTTGGCTCGCGCCAAGCTGGGGACAAGCAGAGGCCTTGTTACTATTAGAAGCAGCAGAGCTCCTCGACAAGACCAACCAGCTCAACTACGTGCGCCCGGCGGATCTGGCAGCTCTGGAGGATGGAGCTGAGAATTCCCACCAGAAACAATGACAAGTGGCACGGTGGCAAACAGAATGCAAGCTATCCGCAAAGCCTTCCAAAGCCGTACATGGGGTCGCCGCCTTTCTCACGACACTGTTGGCGGCAAGGCTCGAGCAACCGAAACCGCGACTTCTGTGGTGGAAAAAACATTAAAAAACATATAAAAAAATGAAAAATATTTAAAAAAACATAAGAAGGGGAGCCGGCTTCACTTTTTGGCCACCAGCAGCCAGCGACGCCGTGGCGGCCAGCATTGGGGGCGATGCAGATGCAATGGTCGGCCCGTGTCCCGACTTCAGACAGGGCCAACGGTGGCTGTTGCTCCGTGCACCGCATGCATCGCCGTGCTGGCTGCAGCTGTTGGGTCACTGTCGTGATCGTCATTAGACCATGGGCCCGTGTCCGGACTATATGGCGGCGCATAGTGCCTCAAGGTGATCTCAAGGTGTCTTTGGGAGTTCTGCATGCCTCCGTGGGGCTGTTGCTGTTGTGGTGACTGGCTTTGGGCTGCATGTATTCCTGGTCATTGCTCGGTGCGCGTGGCGTTGGCAACCTCGCGCTGTGCTCGCTTCGCGGCGTTGGTCCGTTCTGCGGTTGGGTGTCAGCTCTGCCCCCCACTGCATCGGGGCCTGCTGCTGCTGCTGCTGCTGTTGGGGATGGCCCCCTAGGTGGAACTGGTCCTCATCTGCACGTGTTTGCTGCATTCCCTGCGCTGTTTCGGTATGCTGGCGCCGAGGTGGGCCTCCTGGTCTGGTCTGAGCGGTGGACGTGTGTCCTTGCAAGAGGAGGCTCCCCACAGAAAAGGAGAACGGTTTACAGCATGTTTGCGAGTGGTGCGCAGGAGCACTAAGCTGAACGCACTGCCGACAGTCATCATGCATCTGCTATCATCTGCTGCCAGTGTCGCAAACGGCAAGACTGACATGCGGGGCAGAACTGTAACATGTTATTGCCCGGCTCACATCAAACTGTCAACATGGCTGCTTCACTCGTGACATGTTTCTGCCAGCTCTCTATCCCTCCCTCTCTCTCTCTCTCTTTTTTGTTTGCTTGCTTGCCTGGCGTCCGGGGACTAGAGGACAACATCCATAGCGCCCCTGCGCACTGCGCTACGCCTGTGTTCGTGTCCGGTCTGGGTGACACAGGGATCGGACACAAAGAGCAGCAGGCCTCACCCCAACCATCAAATCATACTCACCATATTCACTCTCTCTGTCTCTCTTTTTTTTTCTTCCGCCGGGCATGAGGAGGTGTTAAGCCCCCTCGGCCACTAGGGCCCCCCCAGATTTTGTGGGGACTTTGGAGGAGTGTGAAAAGGTCTTCGCAGATATTTCCCCTTGGAGGATCATTTCACTAGTACCAGTAAGAAACGGTAAACTGTCAGTATTCCCCCAAGGGACTCCATCTACTCTGTACGTTTCGATGGTCCGGTTTTCCCCCAAAAACAACCTAGTGAAACAAGTAGACCAAACGAGCAAATGTCCCTGTTTCCCAGACCATCTGTTGTGCTACGTTTGAGGCAAGTTCCCCCATCAACAACAACAGGATATAAAGGGTAAAC